AAAAAAAAAAAAAAAAACTGTTCCAACCAGTGTTAAACCTTATGATTTCTTTCAACCAGATATCCAAGAAAAAGGTGATAATCCCTGTAACAATCTCGGATTACTTGGCGGATGGATATGGAACTCTGTGAAGTAAATTATTGAGAGTTGAAACCGTGACTCATTCTTAAAATTGCCCCTTCTGGCCGGCCAAACCGTCCACCGCCGCCCGACTTATTAAAAGCCAGGCCTCTCTACCATGAGTCGGTAATTTGAATTCTTCTTCCATTTTGATGGAGACTTATCCTCCAGCAAAAATATGAATTCAAATCTTCTTAACAGAATCAATAAAAAAAAAAAAAAACTACAGTACGGCATTGAAGAAAATTTCTCAGTCAGCATCCTTAACTCGGTCAAACCTTTCCTTTATAAATCTTCGGCCCCCAACGGCTGTGTAAATGGTTTTGAATTCTCCACCCAGAATTCCAAAAATCCAGTCAAACCTCAATTTCAAAACTTCATATAAATTCCAAAAGCAGTTATTTTGTACAAGCAAGTATCAATCGATCTCTGTATATTTTTGTTGTTAGTTTGTTTTCTGCAATCATCATGCGTTGTGCTCTGATGGTACCGACCTCTCCCCTTTTTTCACCGTCGACATCCAGAAGTCCGTCGGCGTTCTGCAAATCAGAAGCTTCAAGCTTCTGCCCGTCGCCTCGCGTCCATGGACCTCAAGCGTCTACGACGTTGATTACAACACCGCGGTCTCCTTCGTTTCTCACTGAGAAGAAACAGCCTTTGTCGGGGTCTGTAGCAGGTGGGGTTGCGATGAAGTGGAAGAGGCCGGGGAGGATAGAGATACCAGCGCTGCTGCCGGTGGGGATGGGGTTTGCTGCGGAGACACAGAGGGGAGAGGAGGAGGTTCGGGTGGAAGGGGAAGGCTATTCGGTTTATTGTAAGCGAGGGAGCCGGAGGTTGATGGAGGACCGATACTCAGCTGTAGTACTTGAACATGATGGAGATTCTAAACAGGTAAATTTTCATGGATTTCTTTTCATGCTCATAGTACGTAGATGTTTTGTTCTGATTACCTGACTTGATTTCTTTGTGTACTTATGCAGGCTTTCTTTGGTGTTTTTGATGGGCATGGTGGTGTTAAAGCTGCCGAATTTGTGGCGAAGAATTTGGGAAATAACATAACAGAAGAAGTGTCGAACAGACGTAGAGATGATATTGAAGGTGCCATCAGGGATGCATATCTGACCACAGATAGGGAGTTTCTAAAGCAAAGGGTAGGCGGTGGCACTTGCTGTGTTACTGCTTTGATACAAAGAGGTGATCTTGTTGTATCAAATGCAGGTGATTGTCGTGCTGTTATGAGCCGAGGAGGTGTTGCAGATGCTGTGACCTCCGATCACCAGCCTTCAAGGCAAGATGAGAGAGATAGAATTGAAGCTCTGGTAGTTACTCAAACTTCTCTTGGGTCAAATTCAACTCAGTGGCTAAAGTTTTGATCATAATTAATGTTTTCTTACAGGGTGGTTATGTCGATTGCTGCCGTGGTGTTTGGAGAGTACACGGGTCTCTTGCTGTATCTAGAGCTATTGGAGATCAATTCCTTAAAAGATGGGTAATTGCTGAACCTGAGACAAAAGTATTGAAAATTAAACCTGATTGCGAGTTCCTAATCCTAGCTTCGGACGGTCTTTGGAACAAGGTTATTTTTGCAGGACTCAACTTGTTTCTGATGATTTTTGTTGAGGTTTTCATGAATTAGAACATAGATCTCTTTTTCCAATCACCTGAATTTTAATTAAAAAGTTTTTTCCTGTTTTCCTTGCAGGTTTCCAATCAGGAGGCAGTGGATTTGGTTCGGTCTGTATGTGTGGGGGTGGAAAAACCAAACACATTTTCTGCTTGTAAAAAGCTTGCAGAATTGTCATCATGGAGAGGCTCCTTGGACGACATAAGCGTGATGATTATTCAATTAAATCATTTTGTTTCATGAATAATTATCTGGATGATGATGATCTTATCGAAGGCAACTGTGCATGATGGTGCAACACTATTGATAAATGTTCTCAAAATTTCTTGAACTAACTAATTAGCTATATATAGTTCATGTGAAGTGTGGGGCTGGGGTGGCTGCGGTACATGCAGTGGTGGTTCAACAACAAAATAAATGATATTGCAAAAAGACATTAGATTTTGTTGATCATGTCACTGCATTTTTTTTTTCTCGCAATGTTTCATGATGCCTTTCAATGAATGAAGTCCGACCTACCTCTCACAAAAAGCTTTCTGTGAACATTGGTACATATGGCCGATTTATTCAAAACAGTGTCTGAATATGTAGTCTTAATAATGGTTCTCAAGTAATCCCTATCTGCATGGCATGTGGAGGATAGATCCCTCCAACGTGGAGGATAGATCCCTCCATGGGCTGCTGACGACGATGAATGTGCAATTTGCCATTAGATGACCAGCTGTTTTCTCTTTTCAGGTAAGTATTACCCCGTTCAACTGGAGATTTCAGTCTGGTCATGTTCGGCAGTTGCCTTGGCATTTCTTTTATGTACATATTCAATAATTGATCTGTATGCGGAGTGTGGGTCCTAGATGCACTGGATTCATATATACAATGCCGAATCTCGTTGTTTCCTTCACCATTTGAAATATATATATATATATGTGTGTGTGTGTGTTTTTGTTGTCTTTTTGTTATTAGCAACTAAAGATTCCTGTTCCACCATTGCTCCCTCTTAATCCAGAAACAGAACATCGATGGCATCTCAGTAGAAGTATTTCTCGAAAACTATTTCGATAGCTTGAATTTTCATATTTTAGCCCGAACATAATAATAATAATAATAAAAAAGGCATTTGGAGGAATTTTTGAATTCCTTTGCTGACTTATAGGATGGAGGCACTAGAAAACTGACTTTCTTCCAGGTGGTTGTTTAGCAGTCGTTGTCCAAATTCAGGTCGTCAAAACAACTGATCAAATTATAGGCTCATGTTTGAGCGAGCACTAAAATGGGCCTGTAGTACAGTTTTGTACTAAAACGGAATGGGCTGTTGTTCTCGTCTGTTTTATCACATTGTGAAAGTCTGAAAGTTCTACCTGTTTTTTTTTTTTTTTTGGGTGGTCTGAATGTTCTACCTGTTTGTTAATGACTTTGGCTGCTAAGACACTTGATCGTATGCATCCCAGATTATCCCGGATTTCGGCTGCTAACCATGATTGTGGGTTTGGTTAATTCGACTTTGGAATTTTAATTTGAACATCCGTACTGAGGGGCTGGACCCTGGATATGGATG